ATCAGGGTCTTTTCCAATGAGTCAGTTCTTCACATCAGGAGGCCAAGTATTGGAGCTTCAGCTTTAGCATCAGCCCTTCCAGTGAGTATTCAGGGTTGATTTCCTTTAGGACCGACTGGCTTGATCTCCTTGCTGTCCAAGGGATTCTCAAGAGTCTTCTCCAACACCACAGTTCAAAAGCATCAATTTTTTTGGCACTTAGCCTTCTTTATGGTCCAACTCGTATATCCATACAGTACTGCTGGAAAAACCATAGCTTTGACCACAGGGACCTTTGTCAGCAAAGCGAGGTCTAGGTTGGTCATAGCTTTTCTTCCAAGAAGCAAGCATCTTTTAATTTTGTGACTGCAGTCACCATCCACAGCGATTTTGGAGCCCAAGAAAATAAAATCTGCCACTGTTTCCACTTTTCCCCCAGTTTTGAGATTAATCCACGTAATTGTGGCTATCAAGAGTGTAGGTGGGTACTTCCCTGGAAGTTCAGTTAAGACTCTGGGCTTCCACTACAGGGGCTGCAGGACTTAATCCAGGTTGGAGGACTAAAATCCCACATGCTACGTGGCCAAAAAAAAAAAAAAGAGTGCATGTGTTTTTATTTCTAAGTAGTATTTCGTTGTGTGGAAATACCACAGCTGTTTATCCATAAATCTGTTGAAGACATTTGGATTGTTTCCAGTTTTGGGAGATGATGAATAGAACATTCAAACTTTTATGTGTAGCTCTTTGTGTAAACAAAAGTTTTTCTTTCTCTAGGGCAAATGCTCATGAGAGGGATTGCTGGGTCATATCTCAGTGCATGTTTAACCCCATAAAAAGCTGCCACATCATTTTCCAGAGTGGTTGTACCACCTGGCATTCCCACCAGCAGTGTTTTATAGTTCTCCTCATTCTTGATAGTTCCTAGAATTGTCAATGTTTTTTTAATTTTAGTCATTCTAGTAGATGTATGGTCTCATCATGGTTTTCATTTGCATTTCCCTTAATGACCGATGATTTAAATGTCTTTTTAATGTGTTTACTTCTCATCTACACATCCTCATTGGTTCAAGACTTCTAACTATTTTTTAACTGCATTGCTTATTTCTTATTTTTTAAGTTTTAAGATACCTTCTGGTCTTTTGTCACATATGTGATTTGCAAAATTTTTTTCTCCCAGTCTGTGGCTGTCTGTTATTTTCTTAGTGTCATTCACAAAGCAAAAGTTTAAATTTTGATAAAGTCTAATTTATCAATTTTTTTAAATGAATTATGCTTTTAGAGTCATATCTGAGAACTCTTTGCTTTGCCTCAGTTCATGAAGATTTTTTCCTATTTTTTTTCCTAAACGTTTTCTGATTTTCCTAAAACAAACTATCTCTCAATGCTAGTGTCAGTGCTAGGTTGCTTCAGTTGTGTCTGACTCTTTGGGACCCAATGGTTGCAAAGGATTGTAGCCTGCCAGTTTCCTCCATCCAGGCCTATGGATTGTAGTCTGCCAGTTTCTTCTGTCCATAGGATTCTCCAAGCAAGAATACTGGAGTGAGTTGCCGTTCCCCCCTCCATGGGAGCTTCCCAACCCAGAACTCGAACCTTCTAGTCTCCTGCATTGGCATGAGGGTTCTTTACTACTAGCGCTACCTGGGAAGCCTCAATAGCTTAAAGAAATTGAGACAGAAATTGGGAGTATAAATATTTGAATTTATATTGACCATATTTTAAAATTTCTCAAGCTATCTAGAATATTGTATAAAACACCTTTGAAACAAAAAAATTCCAAAAGTAAAGGTCTTTATAACTTCAGAAGAAAAAATTCCAATGATATGTTTTCTTCATTATGCAATTCTCAATTCCCTCCTTTAAAACACAGGCATGAAATGGCTTTGCTTAACATAAAAGTACTGTTCCATGTTGAGTGTAATTGAAACAAGAAGTTTTATATATCTTAACATTAGTCTCAGTAAAAGAAAGAGAAATTTTTTTTCAAGGATTAAACCTTAGATCAATTTCCAACAGCCCCATGAAATTTATAATTTTATTGAAAACTCCTTGACAATCATAAGGCAATGTTTGTGATGTTTCAAATTTCCACCAACTGGTTTTTAGAACTAAATACCTTTGAAAAAGGCTTCCCTGGTGGCTCAGATGGTAAAGAATTCACCTGCAGTGCAGGGGACCCAGGCTCAATCCCTGGGTTGGGAAGATTCCCTGAAGAAGGGGCCCACTCCAGTATTCTTGCTTGGAGAATTCCATGGACAGAGGAGCCTGACGGGCTACAGTCCATGGGGTCACAAAGAATTGGACAGGACTGAGTGACTAACAGTTTTCACCTTTGAAACAATTATTTGAAAACCTGTATAAATGAAGCAATCCCCTATCAACCCCTCCCCAACAACAACTGATTTCAAGGTAGAAGCAAAGACAGTGCCATTATGATCTTAAAACTAAATAAGAATTTTTTTAAGACATGTTATAAATGTATAACTTTTACAAAATACATATTAGATGCTAAATTAACTCTGCGGTGACACTGATAGTCTACTACCTTCTTGAAATAAAATAATAAATTATTTCCACTATGAAAATAAAAAGTATTTACAAGTTGATTTTCTGTTATAGTTATTAGATACTTTAGCTCCACACTGAACCACTTACATGTTCTGTCCTGAAATAATCTCAATATCCTGAGGTTTCCTGCTAGGAAAATTAAACATTTGTCAAAGGAAAAAATGCTAAATCCACTTAGAAGTAGAATTCTAAGTTATAAAATATGTTATTGCTGGGCTCCTCAGAGATGCAAACTGACCACTTAATTTTTATCTAAAAAAAAAAAAAATTGGGGCTGTGCCCACAGCACAGGAGATCTAAGTTCCCTGACCGGGGACCAAACCCATGCTTCCTGCAGTGGCAGTGCACAGTCTTAACCCCTGGACCATGAGGAACATCCCAAATTGACCATTTATATACTTCCTTACTATTAAATAAGTGAAGAAGTAGTTTTAGATTATAATGGATGTAAATGTAAAGATTACCCAAAGAAAAGCTGTCACTAGAGTACTGAATGGTATTTAAACAAAAAGAGCTCAGATATTTTCAGGGAATCACAGAATTGATATATAACCCTAAGAAAGAAGGCTGTGAAGCAGCTGAATGTGGTCTTATATCTTCACAGACATCAAGTACGGAGCCCTCGTTAGTCAAAATCTTATTAGGCTGTGAATTCTGTTGATCTTTCTCAGAAACGATGGCCACTTGCATAATGTTTAAAAAAGAAAAAAAGAAAAAGAGAAGGCTATAGCATGGTGAAAAGTTGCTTTCGGGAAGGAGAAAGAACAAAAACTTTTTCTGGCCATTCTTTATATAGGTTTTTCTTGACAGAATATGTATATATATATATTATATATATATATATATATATATTTCATACTTCATTTATTTATTTGGTGGCACAGCACAGCTTGTGGGATCTTAGTACCAGGGACCCAGGATGGAAACTGTGTCCCTGCAATGGCAGAGGCTTACCCACCGGTCTGCCAGGGAAGCCCCACAGAATGTCTCTTGGGAACTTGGAAGCTGAGCCGTTCTCCCCAGGACCGGAAGGCACTGCTCACCTGTGGGCTCTAATTCAGTCTTTCTGAAATCTTTGTTGACTTGATCACTCTGCTCTCCTAAGGGAGTTATCTTCCTATCCACATACAGCCCCTCTACCTGCTTGCCTGTGGGACCAGCTAGAGTCCGTCCAAAATCAATGTGAGACAACTTAGCATGGCTGAATTACATATACTGTTAGTCTATCAATAGCTTTGCTAGTTTAGAAAAACTTCGACGTTTTCTAAAACATTATTTTCTTGATAATACAGAATCACTTTAAATAGTTTTCTGGTCCATTTGCAAACTTCCTCTTTTGAAAGTTAGGCCTTAATTAATTAAGATTAATTATGCCATAATTAAGATTGCTTCATCCAATGATACTATTCTAAGTGTGCATCTAGTAGGAGTCTAGTAAGAATAAGGTGACTTGAGACTCAGCAGAGCCCTTCAGCAAAGAACTGAAAAAATATGACCTTGAGGAGACAATACAAAAGTGCTGTCAGAATCAGGCACATTCACTTATGAGGCTTATAACTGTAGGAGCGGAAAATCTTTTCCTCTATCATCTGAGGTTCAGCATCTCAGACATGCAAATTAAACTAGAAGAAGATTAATAGGAGAAAAGGTTTATTTTGGATGCACACGAAGGCTGCACAGGGAAGGAAAGCCCAAAGAGGCAGTTAGACCTGGGAGATGATTTTCATTTTACAAAGGGTGTCACACTGTGGTGAAGTGACCAGACAGATAAGAAGGGATTTGGGGTCTTAGGGGCAGTAAACTGTGGGAAGGTAAGTATCTGGGGATGGCTTAGTGGTAAAGAATCCAATCCACCTGCAGTGCAGGAGACCCAGGTTTGATCCTTGAGTCGGGAAGATTCCCCAGAGGAGGAAATGAAACCCACTCCAGTATTCTTGCCTGGAGAATCCCCATGGACAGAGGCGCCTGGCGGGTTACAGTCCACAGGGATGTGAAGAGTCTGGACATGACAGCACACATGAGCACAGGTATTTGGGAAACTAATGCAGGAAGGGGTTTAGTAAGTTGTGGGGACTGCAGGTGGTGCTCCCAGTGATGAGTCGTCTCTGGTACAGGAGAGGGAAGCAACTTCACACAGGGAATGTTTTGTCACATTGGCAAAAGGAAAATTTATGCCCTGCTTTTGTCAGAAAGGGAGACGTTCTGTGTCGTTGCCTTTAGCTCTGAATAGTAATCCATACACCCAAATGGCATACTTTGGGGTCATATTCTGATTTCCTTCAGAACCGTCTCATATTCCTGTTTGCTGGCATATTTCCCTTGTTATATGTTGGTTCAGAAGGCTGTTTCCTTATTAAGTTCCCACTTCCTCATCTGTTCACCATTTAGAATTACAGTGAGAGATTAAGGATTGAATGGTTCAGTTTAACAGTTCATAAAGCATCACTTTTACTCACTTCTGGTGTTTGAGCAGCTGAATTCCACATAACTGGTCTCTGAAGGAATACAACCTGCTTTGTAGCCAAATTCCCCTCACTGCAAATTAAAACAACAGTGTTAGCATTTCTAAATTAGTAATTCTCTATATTTCACACTTGGCTAGAATGTTCCACATGTATTCTTTGTAAAATAATCTTCTGATCCAATAATAATTATGAAATAGTCTATATAAGTTGCAGCAGATAAAACAAAGGGAAAAAATCCCTAGAAGCTAAATATGGTCCTTATAAAGTAAATTCTTAATGTTTAAAACTTGTAATCTCACTGTGCTAACATACTTGGTTTCATCTCATGGTCTCCCCTCTTATTGCTTATCAACATGCATATTTCTGCATGTCTATAACCACTGCATATTTGCATTCTGTATTCTGTATCCTATGCTTATCTCTTTTCTTGCTTGTACATTATGATCATATTCTTAATAGCTGCATGATATCCCAAAGAATTAAGATACCAAAATGTACTAAGCCTTTCCATTATTACTGGAAAATTAGGTTGCTTCCGGCTTTCTGCTAATTATAAATAATGCTGCTATAGAAATATGTATAGTCTTCTTTATTCTTTATGACTTATTTCCTTGAGATAAATTCATAGGCGTGGGATTATTAGGCCAAAAGGGTATGATTTAAGCTCCTTGGTATGCATTGTCAAATTTGTCTTATGAAAGAAAGAGACCAGTTTGGACTGCCACATGTGAGAAATTTATATACATTTTCCATTGAGGGACTTGAGCCACAGCTAGTTTCATTTTCAGATGCTTCTTTGTAGTCAGCTACTCAATATTCTCCTTATTTAACTACCATCATGGCAAATTACCCCTTGCCAAAGACTACTTGGGGTTTGGATTTCTCTGAAATGCTTTTCACAGAGTCTCCATGGATTTATGGGGAGGGGTGTCTGTAGCTAATGTTGCTCAGTTACGACTTTTATTATGCAAAAAGCCCCAACAAAACCTCACTATTAGCTGCATTTTATGCTGAGCTCTTTTTTCTGGAAAACAAATGAAACATTGAAACTCTGGCCCTAGTGGTCAACCCCACACAATTTGAAAATCCCAAACTTACTGATACTGTTGAATTTTGAGAAAGAGCAAATCTTCCCACAAAGTGGTAACGAGAGATTGCTTCTTTTTTTATTTTTAAAAGACTGCTTTTAGTCTAATCTCATTTTAGTTTGACTCTGTCTTTGAAAAGAAGACAGGGTGTGAAATATCTCCAGCTCTGGGGAGCAGTCTGAGTCATCTGGAGACGTCGGCGTGAGACGGGAAGGGGCTGGTGGTGCACGGAACAGGCTGGCTATCTGGGCGGCAGGGAGAACACGGGAAAGGGCCGTGGCTTTAGAAGCAGACAGTCCTGGATTCAAGGCTCAGTTCTACAGTAAAACAAAGAATGTTGCTCACCATCTAGTTCTACAAGAATCAAGTCATTAGCCAATGTAACCACTGACTTACAATTCACTCTCAGAGGAATTCAGGTGAAGATCAGAATGAAGCACTTGGTGCTCTAGGAAAACAGGCCCTCACATAGCTAGAAATATTTTAGGAGGATTTTTTTAATGAACCTGCTGTCTTATATCTTCCCATACTTAGAAAAGATCTAAAGTCATGAACTGAGATACCTGTTCCTTATGACTAACCTTCTACCAATGTGTGCTTGACTGCATGTCACCCTTTTCCAAAACTGCACATGCTGACCTGTCTGCCTCACCTCTTGGGAGCATTCCTCAGAGCTCTCTGAGAGACTGTATCTTGCACTAGAGTTCTTAGTAAGTCCCCCAGAACTCACAGCTCCCAGGTTGTGCTTTCTTCCCCCCCAGTTGACAGTACTGAAATGGCTGATGATACCACCTAATACCTGTTGACTTTGGCGAAGTTTTAAAATTCTCTTTCATTTCCTATCAAGGGCTTTGTGATAGATAAATAAGGCAGTGGATATGAAGAGCGTCCGCTGAGCCTGCCACTGGAAGGAGCACAGCAAATGGGATTTCCTCCCAGTTCCCCCATTCATTCAGTGAAATGTGGGGTAGGGCTGAGTGGAGGAACATATCTTAGAGTCAAGAACATCTTCCAGAGAGAACGGCCAAGGAAAGGGGGAACAAGAAGAGAGCAGAGGTCCCTGGATAATGTTCACGGCATGTGACGCAGGTGGAGAGTCACATGCAGGAACCAGGCCTAGAACTGTCCAAAGATGAGCAGTTGGGACGATTAGTCTTCTTGAATAGAAAGTCTCCTGGGGCCCCGGGGTAGGGACTGGCGGTGACCCTTGATGAGTTTTCCCCAAAGGATTATAGGATGGGGCAAATCTGAGTGTAGTGGGGTGTGATGTTCAGCCGACAGCAGGCTTCTCAACCTTTATGAATGGGGTAAAACAGTAAGTGTGGAGACAGTTACTCAAAGGCTGCCTATCTTAGGACAGTCTTTGGCTGCCCAGGTAAGACTTTGGAAGGTTAGCATTTTCTCATCTCTTGGGAGGTCCTTAGAGTTAGACTTAATTTGAAATATGTCTAAGACCTCACTGTCTCTGGTTTTCTAAAGGACATTCTGACTTAAAATAGGTCCTGCTGGGACTTCCCTGGTGGCGCTGTGGGTGGGAATCCACCTGCCAAAGCAGAGGTCATGGGTTCGATCCCTGGGCCAGGAGGATTCCACATGCCTCGAAGCAGCTAAGCCCAAGTGCCACAACTACTGAGCCTGCACGCTAGAGCCTGTGCTCCGCAACAAGAGAAGCCATTGCAATGAAAAGCCTTTTCACGGCCGTGAGGAGGAGCTCCCGCTCACTGCAACTAGAGAAAGCCCATGCAAAGCAACAAAGACCCAGAACAACCAAAAATTAATTAGTTAGTTACATGAAATAAACTGCTTTCTGTTAAAAAAAAAAAAGTCTTGCTATTTTTGGGCTTCCCAGGTGGTGACAGTGGTAAAGAACCTGCCTGCCAATGCAGGAGATGTAAGAGACACAGTTTTGATTCCTGGGTCTGGAAGATTCCCTGCTATTTTCAGAATATCTGTGAGATGTGGAATGCCTTTTGGTTTGGAGAATGGCAATCATAGTAGAATGAAAGGGAAAGAGGCCTGAAACCATACAGAGGGACAGGGCAAGTGAGTCCCTCAGAGTCTCCAGGAGCTCCAGAGGTAACTCTGTCTACTGAGCTTGGATAGGACATTTGCTCTGTAGCACTGGCTTCTGAAAGGATTTGACTGGTGACATCATTAATCATTATGCGATCAGAGAGATCTGGACAGAGCCTACACCTGCTATTCCCTACAGAAACTTTTTTTACCCAAAAAGTACTATTAGTTAACTGAGTAACTCAATACTTCTCTGCGAGAGTTAAGAACATTTAGATTCTCTTTTGTAGTGTTATTAATGGGTGGTCATGCTTTAATATAATAGAAAATCAATGCAGCTTTTGGAAAATGCTTGATTTCTGCATAAACTCTGTAGAAATTATGGCACAACGTGCTTTGGTGATAAGTATAGACTGCAAGTAGGGGCTCCCCTGGGGGTTCGGACAGTAAAGAATTTGCCTGTAATGCAGGAGACCTATATTCGATCCTGGATTGGGAAGATTCCATGGATAAGGGAATGGCAACCCACTCTAGCATTCTTGCCTGGAGAATTCCATGGACAGAGGAGTCTGGCAGTCCCCGGGGTTGCAAAGAGTAGGACATGACTGAGTGACTAACACACACACACAGACTACATGTATAAGCTGCTCAAGGGAATACTTTCAAAGAAGATGTGAAAACACCTGCTAGTCCTTCCTTCCTGAGGGCAATAGATAGCGCCACTGTCATCAGGTTAGCCAGGGCAGTCGGGGCAGGGGGCGGGGGGCGCCGCTGGGTTCCCTGCAGCAGTGGTGGAAAGTAGAGCGAATGGATACAAGGGCCCAGAGGGGAAAGGAGGGTCATCAGTACAGGAGAAGGTCCAGGAAAGTACCATGACACCTGAGGCCAAAGCCTAGGTAGGATCTGGGACCCTGGGCCACACTGAAGGAAGAAAAGTGAAGGTCAAATCAGTGAGGCTGATTGGAAAAGTGAAACTAGTGGGAGAAGCAAGGTCAGGTCCAGGTGTTTGACCAGAAGAAACCAGTTGAAACAATGTGAAAGTATGAAGGCTGAGTCAGCTCCGGGGTCACACCCAGATTTAAGCAAAGATTCAGAGGACAGGTGTGGACCTGGGAGAGGCAAGAGAAACCCCCAGGACTGCTGCTGTCCCTGGGACAAGGGGCTTCTTCTCTCTGCTTTGGGGGTGAGCTCATCTTTCAATGTGGGCAGACAGGAGTGTGCGATCTGGGGCGAGTGAGCCAGGGTTTGTATTGGCAGTACGGGCAGAGGAGCCAGAACACAGAAGGGGGAGAAATGTGCTCAACCAGTTCTACAACTTTGTACTACGCAATATCCGGACACATCATTTCTCTGTGATGTGTTTAACAGAGGCAGTGCAGTGTGGGAAAAACAGCATGTATGACTTTAGAGTCACACTGACCCTGGGTTTGCATCCCAGCTTTGTTGCTTACTGGCTATGTGACACTGATGAAGTCGTCCTATCTTTCTGAGCCTCCTGTTTCTCTTCAGTAAAACAAAGATGGTTCTGAGAAGACCTTTGACGTGGTGGATATAAAGTTCTTGGCACAGACCTGGAGCATAGCAGATGCTTAGTAAATGCTTCCTTCTCCCTTTCCTGTCTTCTTCTATGCGTTTCATAAGAAAACAAAAAGAAGACTCTCTACTTGGTTATTTTTAAGGGAGGGAGGTTTGCTATGGTGTCAACAGACAATCAAGAAAAATACTAGCTTACTGATAACAGAAAATCTCATGAACTAAACTAAGAAAAATAACTTAAATTTGTGTAATGCTTTTTGTGCAGGGGGCCTGGATTTGATCCCTGATCAGAGAGGAGATCCCCCATGCCACAACTAAGACCTGGTGCAGTCAAATAAATAAATATTAAAAACAAACAAAAAACCCTTTAAAACAAAGACATCCATAAAGAGAGTAAAAAAGACAAGCCTCAGACAAAATCAGGGAGACCGTC